CAATCAATACGGTGGATGGAAAATAATATAGGATACAAACTATACTTGGCGTCCATATATGTGTACAATGAGCACGTATCATTTAGCTTGGTTCTCATTGGAGTTATTTCTTATGTATGCTCCAAAACTCAGGCAATGTGAATTAGTCAAAGTACCTTTTAACTTCATTCTATTCTAGTCAGTTATAAGATATATTTTGCACCAAATCGAGAACTCGTCTCTCTGAATCTTGATGGCGCTAGGACGGCAATAACAGGGTACTAGACCCGTCCCAAATCCTAATAGGGCTTGTGGTTGTAGTTAAGGGTTGCGGGATGAAATTTAGTTACCAAACCCGATAGGGTTTGAGGTAGGTTCGGGATTTGTGTTGGCGATGCCCCGAAACATATGACCCGAGAGCCATTTCACTGAAGTATTTGTACTCTCATGAAGAATATAAGGCCACCTATGTAATTGTATACACCCAAAAAAGATACTACTTGTGCTCACTTACATTCTTTTTGCAAACATTCATAGTTTCCAAGTCATTTTCTATGATTCCTAAAATTCATCGGAGAATTTGAAATTGAAATGGTTGTAAAATTCTGGATTTGCAAGATTGAGGGTGTGTAATTATAAGATGGTTTGCTATTTATTTTGTGTTAGACAACTTGTTTATAAGAAATTGTAGAGGAGAAAATAATAAGCATAGTAGTTTCGAAAACCCATTGAAAATGCGACAGATAACTGAAAAAACGCAAGTGGGACGGGTTTGGGATTTCATTTACACAATTCTATAATAGGGTTTGGGACTTGTTTGAGAAATTTTCAACAGTGGGCTCATGAGCTACGGTCTCTTTGGGTCCATGGGCCATCATAACATCTTTTGAAATGAACATGTTGACATCTGGGGATTAGTACACATACTCATTTCAGTAACTACGTATTTTGTCCTGGAGAAATTGCGTCCCCCATGAGGAACTGATGTGGGACAAGAGAAGCAACATATAAGGGAAGACATACAGAAGACTTTTATTTTATTTTTCATGATCAGGGCACGAGCGCAGGGGATCTGACTATTTGGAAAGAAATGCAGCAGAAATTTAGAAGAGATAGACAAGAACTTCAGAAGAAGTAACTCAATAGCAGTATAATCTCAATCGTACGAATAAACTAAAAAAAGAATCTCAGGCTAAACGGTGTATTTGCAACATCGACGGCTTGCCAGATAAGAAACGAAAAATGAGAGTTACCAGAAACAAATATGAATTATGAAATATATTAAATAGGAAAAGCCTAAAATAACAATCCCGCACCCACTTGTTTACTTAGAATTAAGTTCAAGTGAATAGTACTTTTATGCTTTGCCGCTAAAAATTTGAAATATTATCCAAATGTGATTTCAAAAGATCTGTAAGTGAATTTACGCGTTAATATTTGTGCACGTTTCAAGTGTTTAGGATGAAAAATAGTCAAAGTGATGCATCGCAAGATCAAAACTAAACAAAAAATTTAAAAGTCCATCTAGACACTACCGAAATTATAAGTTCATTCTTTGAGGGGCATGGTGTCGCTCTGATCTTAGGTGCAATCTCGACACTTCATGTGCTCATCAGGAACTGTACAATTTGGCTACAGTGGTGTTTTAGTTATTGATCTGCTACTCTTACCTTTAATGGTACAAATGACATTATAGTATGGAGCGAGTCAAAATCCGAATGGGTGGTGTCCATATTAATTTTTTTGTAGTTTGTAATATAGGGAATGAAACTTTGTGCCATTGCTTAAGTTAATGTAGGTAATAAAAGTCAGTAGGTTTTATGAAGAAAAATTTAAGAGCATGATGTAAGAAAATCATCGGTCCAACATAATTAATAAAAACGTTCAATCCAAGATATGTATATAGATTTAGAACACCTCAATAACAATTCGATGAACAAACACCTGATGAAGTCAAATCACACACCGCCCGTCACATCATGAGAGTTGGTCGTGCCCGAAGTCGTTACCTTAATTTCAAGGAGGGGGATGCCGAAGACATGGTTAGTGACTCGATGAAGTTGTAGCAAGTAGTTGTATTGGAAGGTGCGGTTGGAACACCTTTTTTTGGGAGAGCTAATGTTTGTCAGCTATGTAGGTTTGATATCGCTTTACACCCAAAAAGAGGCGAGCCACATTGAGTTCAACTTGCGTATGGAAGTCCTTTTTCATTTATGAATAGTGAAGTAAGACCAGGCTCACAAGCTAATTATCTCAGATCAGAACAAGTTGATAGGATTCCCTTTTAGATATCCCCATGCCCGATATGGGGGCAGAGAAGGAAAAAAGAGGGATGTGGTTTCTCTTGCTTTTGACATGGCGGCCCCAGGGGAGGCTTGCACGACGGGCTATTAGTTCAATCGCAAAGAATGCTCCAAATATAAGTGTTGTTGCGTCTCTGGGATAGCTCTCGGCTAGTCATGGCCACGGTTCGGAACCGGCGGTTCCGGTTCGTGGCCATGTCCGAACCGGCCGGTTCCGATTCCGGTTCTGAACCGGCCGGTTCCGGTTTGTAATTTAAAAATTTTAAAAATAAATTATGAAATAAAAAAATAATGAATTATAAAAATATGAAATAATGAATTATTCAATATAAATTATAATCAAAATGAAAATTATAGGGGTGATCGGTTCCCGGTCGGAACCGGGAACTGAACCGGTAAGACCGTTCCTTTCATTTTAGAATTAGGAACCGGACCGGCAAATCATAGAACCGGGAACCGGACCATTGGTCCGGTTCTGTTCTAGGCGGTCCAATGGAATCGTAGCCACAAAAGGCATACAACTTCACATGCTCATGGCTTGGCTTGGGTTTTATAAACAACCCCTTTGATGGTCTCTTCATTCTCATTCGATGTGGGACTCTTGGCATTTGCATGAAGGCAAGCCAAGAGTCTCACATTGAAGGTGTTCAAGACAAGCCGAGAATCTCACATCAATTGGGAATGAAGAGACCATCAAAGGGGTTGTTTATAAAACCCAAGCCAAGTTTTGTAATTAGAGCTCAATACACTCAAGCCAAGCATTGTAATTGGAGATCAATGCACTTACAATGCATGGCAATTAGAGTTCAATTTGTTTTATAAAAAAAAATTAAATAATGAATTTTTTTAAAAAAATATTCATTATTATTATTTTTTTAAAAATAATTTGGAATCGGGCCACGGGCCGGTTCCGTTCCGGTTCCGAACTGCGGGCCCGGTCAACGGGCCGGGCCCGGGTTTGACCGGGCCGGTTCCGAGCCAAAACCGGCCCGTGGCCATGACTACTCTCAGCCACGTGGATAATTCAATATATGAGATTTATGAATTTGGTTTTGGTCAATCCCTTTGGGTTTGGTCTTCCTCTCCAATCTAGGACATGTGTGTTAGGACTTAGGGGCGGATATGAGACTTTAGATATATATATAGCTATCCATCACAAGTCACAGTTAGAATATGAGGCTTACACCAAGTTGTCCGGTCACTTTTTTACTGGACGGAGATGTGCAAAGCCCGTTATGATCTGATCACGTAATTGTATTATGAGTATCTAGTATTGTCTCGCATAAATTTTATTTGCTTTACAACGGCCTTTTTTTTCGCAAAAGAAAATATTATAGGGAAAATTCCAATTAAAGACCCCAAGTGGGGTCAAATTCTCAAAAATGGGTCCAAAGTGAATATTGTGTCATATAAGGGCCTGAAGTGCTCAATCAGTCTCAAATAAGGACCCGAAGTGCCCAAAATGTCTCAAATAAGGACCTGGGTCCCCGGCCGGCCAAAATACCTGCCGGCCGGCGAGAAAGTTACTGTTCCGACACCGGAACAGTAACTTTTTAATTTTTTATTATTTTCTTTCTTTTTTCCTTTTCTGTTTTTATTCTTTTCCTTTTCCTTTTCCTTTTCTTTTTTTTTTATTTTCTTCCTCCGCCGGCCATTAGCCGGGCCGGGAGTCGCCGGCCTCGAGGCGAGGCCACCCTCGCCGCGTCGGCCGAGGGCCGCCCTCGCCCGCGTCGGCCGAGGGCCGCCTCACTGGGGCCGGGCGAGGTCGCCCTCGCCCGGTTGCGGGCGAGGTCGAGCCTCGCCGGTTGCGGGCGAGTCGAGCCTCGCCCGGATCGGCGAGGGCTCGGCCTCGCCGGTCGTTAGCGAGCTCGACCTCGCCGGCCTTGCCGGCGTCGGGCGAGCCGGCCTCGCCCGGTTGCGGGCGAGGTCGAGCCTCGCCGGTGTCGGGCGAGGCCGGCCTCGCTGTTGCGGCGAGGTCGATCCTCGCCGTTGTCGGGCTAGGCCGGCCTCGCCGGTTGCGAGGCGAGTCGAGCCTCGCCAGATCAGCGAGGCTCGGCCTCGCCGCTGCAGGCGAGGCTCGCGAGGCCGGCCTCGCCTCGACACCGGCGAGGCTCGACCTCGCCCGCAACCGGGCGAGGCCGGCGAGGTTGAGCCTCGCCCGGCCGGCCGGCGAGGCCGGCCTCGCCCGACGCCGGCGAGGCTGGCCTCGCCTGAGGCCGGCGACCTCCGCCGGCCCCGGCTATGGCCGGCGGAGGAAGAAAATAAAAAAAAAAAAGAAAAGGAAAAGGAAAAGAACAAAAACAGAAAAGGAAAAAAGAAAGAAAATAATAAAAAAATTAAAAAGTTACTGTTCCGGTGCCGTAACAGTAACTTTCTCGCCGGCCGGCAGGTATTTTGGCCGGCCAGGGACCCAGGTCCTTATTTGAGACATTTTGGGCACTTCATGTCCTTATTTGAGACTGATTAAGCACTTCAGGCCCTTATTTGACATAATATTCACTTTGGACCCCTTTTTGAGAATTTGACACCACTTGGGGTCCTTAATTGAAATTTTCCCAATATTACACGATAGATGTTAGCCGACGGCTATAGAATTCCTAATACATCATCCACAAGTACTACCATCCAGTCTTTTTCCAAGATCGTGTAGCCTCTGTTTTGAGAAACTTATCAAGAACTTGCAACTTTAGCAAATGGCAGAATGTTTTTCCTATCCAGAAAAAACTTGCAGCACCTCTCTGATTAAAATAATTTCTTACGAAGTACAAGAATTGCAATCAAAACAAGGACAATTCTTAAAAAAAAAAAAAAAATTCAACATGCTTGAGCAGTAGTTTCCCTACATCTGCTCAAGAAAATAATTCTGATCTTCATTGTACTAAGTCAAAACCACCTACATAAGCTTTTTCCTTTGTGGTCAGGCTCTCCTTTCTCTTCTCATAATTCTTTATCTTGAGCTGCCGCATACAAAATTTTCCTCATGGATCAACAGTTCGGAAGGTCGCTCGGAGGCGGTAGAAGCGACTGGTTCGGGCCTTTCCCGTTGTCCACCAAGAAGGCCATCTTGAGTCCCCAGGTCGTGTGAATTTCCAGATGACAATGCATGAACCAAACGCCTGCAAAAAAGGTTTCGACAACAGGGTCCTGAAAAACTTGCAGAGTAGCTAAATTTATAGTGAAGGCTATAGAGTAACGAGAATAGTACCAGGATTATCTGCTCTGAATCTGATTGCAACCCATCCACCAGATGGTACTCCTATTGTGTTCCTCTCAACAGGATCAACAAGATTGAAGTTCTTCTGATCCATTTTCGGATTATAATTCCCTAATCCCTTCCCGACTGTGAAGAAATTGAACCCGTGAAGATGGATTGGGTGGTTCTCCGGGGCGATGATCCCGGTGTCTTGCAACACGAGCTGGACCGTCGAGTTATAGCGCAACCGGTACACCTTGGTCCCGCTCGTGGTCCGCAAATTCGATGGCGGCGCCCCCGTGTAGTTGAATTTGGTCGGCGGGTTACCAGGGAAATCACTCGTGAAGACGCCGCTTATGTTGAAGAAATGCGCTTGGAGAAGGGCTGTCGTCGGCATCACGAACGTCACGTTGTTCATGCCTGCCACAACTCTGCTTCCGTTGCCGGCCTTGCACGAAGGGCAAGGATTGATTCCTAGTCCAACAGTGAAAAGGAGGTTGTGATCGACGGTGAGCGGGACTTTGGCAGGGTATTTCTTTGAGTTGAGGCTCCGGAGCGAGTTAATGAAATTGTTTGCCACTGCGGTGGCGTTTTGTGGGGGAGTCTTGGTGAGGGTCGTGGAGGTCGTGGCGAGTGTGCCGGAGTAGTGTAATGTGGCGGTTGCGGTCACGTTGTCTACGGCAATTGGGGAGTCCATGAAAGGGGAGGCGGCAACCAAGTACTTGCCCGAGCTCTGGTCAGCGGAGACAAGGGCATTGGTGGTTTGGCCCGGCGCAATCAGGATTGTGTCCGTCTTGAAAGGCTTGACGTAGGTGGCGTCGACCTCCACGATGGTCAGCTGGTGCCCGGCGATCTTGAAGAAGAGCTCCTCATTGAGCGCAGCATTGATGATTCGGAGCATGTATCTCTTGCCACTCTCGACAGGCAATGTGAATCCACCTAACATCAGAGAAAATGAAGGTCAGCATCAACTCAATTGAAACAGTAAAGTTAAACTACCTCATGAAGACGTAACATCAATATTCGGATGTTCTTTTCATGGCAATGTTTGTCGATGGATTGTTACCCTGGGAAGGGCAATTGGAATTTGGCCCTGGATGGCCATTGATGGTGTGAGCATCGGAGACGTTCGGCGCCAATCCGGACTTGATGGCTTCATTGATCACAGCTTCTGTATCAGACTTCCACCATTCGCCTGATTCACAAACCCCAGAAGGGTCAACAAATGTAAAGACAGAAGGGAGAATAATTCAGGGTAAATTCAGATGGTTCTGCCAAAATTAAACATATATTGCCTAGGCTCGAAACGCGGTCGATTGAGCAGTTCGAACTAGCCAAAGGCGACCTTCCACCACATCAATATGAAAGGAAACACCGGTTCGGTGGATCGCATATGACCTATAAATCTAACGGTTCACGCCCCTCTTTCTATCGCGTAGTCTTCACAAGAAATTGTGTAGATTGGAACAGCATGTATGCTGTTAACCAAGCAATGATTGATCTTTCATTTTGGAAGCGAAATGGAGCATACCCAGTACGACAACGACTTCCTTGTCGGGTTTAGGGAAAGGGTACGGAACGCCACGCTTCGGCAAGATGACAATGGCTCCGTGCAGGGTTGCCCTGAGCCAGAGTATGTGGGCATGCCAGAGGAGGGTGCCCCGTTGGCCCGTGATGGTGAAATTGTACATGTAGCTTTGGCCTGTCGGGATCGGGCATTGGGTAATGTATGCCGGCCCGTCAGCCCACCCCGTCCTCAGCTGCCGGACACCGTGCCTGGCCACACATATACACCGAGATCAATATGAAATCTCTCGAAGATGACGGTTTAATTTTAACGCCCAGTTGAGCTCACCAGTGGATGGTGACATTGTATTTGACGCGGTTGGTGACCCTCACGAGCACGGTGTCGTCTTCCCTAGCATAGAGAGTGGGCCCCGGGAACCTCCCGTTCACGGTCACGATGGGCTTGCTCGAACACAGCCTATTCGTATTCTTCATTACGACCTGCCAATTAGGGGAATAAACACATATCGCGCCACAAGCTACGTCCTAACGAGCAAGTTTTACAGAGGAATACTTCATTCCTATAATGTTATGACTTACATTGAATGTGTAGTTCCGAACTCTGCCCTCGACCACGGCCGGAGCGATGCAAGCGGCGAGAAGAAGGATTTGAAGCCAAGAGTCCATCTCTTGCAGTACAAATCTTTTGAGCTTAATTCGAAGCAAGCTTTGTTCTGGTGATCATCTGATGCAAGCTTGGCACACTTAAATAGAGGGGGGTCAATCGACACAAGATTGCTGCCTCGTCGTTTTCTTCATCGTTAGGTTGATATGGAAGGGATTCTTACAAATCAAGATTCATTAGGAAAGGGTTTTGGATCACTTTTATGCGATTTGAAGCCTATGGAGTTCGAAAAACAATTTATTTATCAAGGTATTCGTTAATTAATCGTTAATTATTCGTTAATTTATTTATCAAGGATCACTTTTATATATAGCTAGACCGACCTTCGTAAATTGCAAATACCTATTCGTTAATAATTAATCGGATCGCAAACGTGGTGTCATCATTTGCTAGAGTATGTATCCATCAAACAAATTGTTGGAATTTCCGAAGCTATGCGTTCTCGAAGAGCGGGTTTAACTAGAAAAATCCTTAAATTGTGAGTCTCATAAATCCCATAATTATCTATCTAGTTTTTTTGTTAAATTATTCCGAAGGACTAATCGGGTACATTCCGTTAGAAGAAGTTGCTTAAATTTCATTTTCAATGTACCATTCGAAGCTTTAGTTGGTTCCAACTTGACGTAAGTTCAGATGCTCTTTTTTTTTTCTTAGCAAAACTCATAACCAACTTGATTGTGAGATTTCGACCAATTTGACAATTCTTGACAAGCATTTGACTTTTTTGTTTCTCTCATATCTTACGCATGCTCGAAGTAGGTTCATGATAATGTTGTTTTACTATTATTTTTTTTGTTCCTTATGCTTGTCGTGCTATGTTTCATGTTCCATGTTCCATGATTATAGTGTGTTGGGGGCTCTGCTGGGTGCGCTGCCATCCGCTTGAGGTTAGGACACCTTGAGTGGGCATTTGAGATGACATTTTGACCTTTAGTTTCATCTTTCGTCTACATAATCTTTTAAAGCTTGGATTTGATGTTGAGTAACTCTTAACATCTTACCCAACTTGAGATTGACCCGGTGGTAAGCGCGTTCCTGTGTTTTTGACTTAGGAATGGATGGTTGCGGGTTCGATCCCTACCATGGGGAACTTAGATTTGAGTAGGGGGCCATGTTGGCGAGTTATTATACTAGTTCCAGTTAGCCGGTTAAGTATGTTCGTATCCCTGGATTAGAAAAATGAAAACTCTTAACATCTTAAATCATCAAACACCTACGGAAGTATTTACTATGAAATTCGTTAATCCATGAACTTTGACTCAATGTGCAATATGGCCCATAAGCTTTTAATTTGTTCAATGTAGTCCATAAACTTTAACTTAATGTTCAATGTGATCCCTGAATTTTTAATTTGTTCGATGTAATTCCTGAACTTTTGGTATATGTTCAATGTAGTCCATGAACTATATGAAAATATTCAATATAGTCTCTGAATTTGAATTAATGGAAGGAATACAATAAATATTTTCATATAATTCAGAGACTAAATTAAACATGTACCAAAAGTTCAAGGATGACATTGAACAAATTAAAAGTTTGGGGACCACATTAAATATTGGATTAAAGTTCATGAACTAAATTAAACAAATTAAAAGTTCGGGGACCACATTGCACATTGAGCAAAAGTTCAAAGACTGCTTGTGTCATTTTCCCTACTAATATTGTTCACGAAATTTCCTCCGCTTGTTTGGAAGATTTGTATGTGATTTTTATATGCTTTCTTTTTGTTAAGAAATATACTATAAATACATTGTTGACACGTTCCCTAACAGCTTACAATTCAAGAAAAAATAGTTTGTTTAACCCGGTATCATAGCGTTGGTTAAGATTTCAATTTGGTACTCGCTCTCAAACTCATTACTCATGGCAAGTTTACAACTTGCTCACACAACATTAGTGTAAAATTTTGTGGGACTACTGCTAACTGTTTTTAAAATTTAAGCTATTAGATGAAGGTGTGGTTTAATTTTTAATTACTCTAACACTCCCCTTCACGCTTCGTCTAGTCTTTTTGTCTAATACTAAGCGTGGAGATATTTAATTGGGGAGGCAAATGTAGTCCGGAAAGATTTAAATTCGTGACCTCCTGCTCTGATACTATGTGAGATTTTGTAGGATCATTGTTCTAAAAACTTAAGCTGTTAGATGAAGGCGTGATTTATTATTTAATTATTTTAACAAACCCCTCATGCTTAGTATGGTATTTTTGGCTATTACTAAACATGGACATATTTAATTGAGAATGCAAATGGGGTCTGGAAAGATTTGAACTCATGACCTCTTGCTTTGATACTAGATGAGATTTGTGGGACCACTGCCAATTGTTCTAAAAGCTTAAGCTGTTAGATGAAGACATGGTTTAATATTTAATTATTCTAACACTTCTTCTCACGCTTAGTCTGGTCTTTTTGCTTAGTACGAAGCGTGAAATATTTAATTGGGAAGACAAATGGGGCTTGAAAAGATTCGAATTTAGGACCTCCTGCTCTAATGCTTAGTGAGATTTTGGTGGGACCACTGTCGATTGTTTTAAAAATTTAAGCTGTTAGATGAAGGTGTAATTTAATATTTAATTATTTTAACACTCCCCCTAAGACGTGATTTAATATTTAATTATTTTAACATTCCTCCTCACGCTTAGTATAGTCTTTTTGCTTAGCACTAAGCATGAACATACTTTATTGGGAATGCAAATGGGGTCTAGAAAGATTTGACCTCATGACCTTCTGCTCTGATATCATGTGAGATTTGTGGGACCACTGTGAACTGTTCTAAAAGCTTAAGCTGTTAGATGAATACATGATTTAATATTTAATTATTTTAACAATTAGGAGCCGTGCCCATTTCATAACATAGAGGCAAGTCTTGCGTGTGTAGGGGACTAGCTTGCACACCAGGGAGAGTGCTAAGAAATATGTTATAAATACTTTATTGATACGTTTTCAACTGTTCACGCTTATGAAAATAAATTTGTCCAACACTTCTCTTGACAATTTAAACTTTAGGAGGAAAAGAAGCTTATTTAATACGGAAAAAACACTAGAAGTGTGATAACTTTCTAATGGCTTTTCACTTTAGTGCAAAAACTTTTCGTCAGATCATTTAAGTGCCAAATCGGAGAAAAAACAATCACTTAAGTACCTCCAATGACAAATTTCGGCCAAAAGTCTTACATGATTTTTTAAATTATATATTATTGTCTATGTGGATTTTTTTATAAGAAAAAGAAAACCCACATGTGCCTTCTTATGGTAGATAAAAAACACACTATCGTCGTTGTCCAAGGCACCAACGAGCCATCGTCCATGGCCGCCGTAGCTGCTCCATGATTGACGAGGCGGGTCGTCCTCCATCTGCCTTCTTATGGTAGATCTATTCTGGCCAATCGAATCTAGAGTCACGGCAACAGAGCCGACCAGATTTGGACGAGTGGCTCGCATGGAGAAAATGGGCGAAGACTTGGCGATTCTTCTTCGAGCGGCCTTTAGCATGACAGTATTGATAAGTCTTCCCGTTGCGATAGTAATGGTCAACCAGTAGTCAATTTAATTCCTAAGGCTGCGTTTGGTCGACCGGATAAAAACCAGGATAGGATATGTTTTATCCTATCCTGTGTTTGGTGGTGGTCCAGGATAGGATAAGGTCGGATATAAACCGGATAAAAAAATCCAAGGGGGGGTGGGATAGACCTGGATAGGATTTCTAATGTCTATTTTTCCAGAAACCCTATGCTCCACTTGCCGTCATCTTCATCCCCACACCTTGTGAGCTTTCACCAAAAAAATTTCCCGACTTTTTTTCCTTCACCGACTCCTCCGGACCCGCGAATAGCAAAAAAAAAAAAAAATTATCCTATCCGACTTTAAATCCGTAGTCCACCAAACAGTGGATAGGATATGAAGAAATCTTAGGATTTATTATCATATCCTATCCAGTCCTATCCTGTTTAGAAATCCGGACGACCAAACGCAGCCTAAGTTGTTCCAACGACAACAGAGGGAAACCTTTCATAATGCACCGCAGTTCAGACTTTCCCGATGGGGTTTGATAAATTCTAAATATAACTTCAATTCCTTCCTAATTTATCTTTTACTTTCTATTTCGTTTCGCCTTTTTTTTTTTTTCTGTTCTCTTGATATTTGCCACATTCCATTGCCATTGGTTGCGCCGTAAAGGGGCAAATTGAGTTTGCAAGGAAGGTATTCTTTGTTATAATGAAGCTGGACTCTATTTTGAGGAGTTTTTGTTTGAGATAGTGATTCATCTTGGGTCTTCTTCACTGTCCTCAAATTGCGAGAAAACCGCCACCGTCTCTGCTTTTTGTCGCGCCTCTAGCCATGCCGGGCAAACCTTTGTTCGCCCTTATGTTTGGAAGCCAGAGTTGAAGAGCTCATGCTGCAGCCGCCACTGCTTCGCTCATTAAATCCAATCCTCAAAGTTGCTTTCGTGACTGTCTTGTTCAGGTTCAATCTGTAATTGCTTTAAGTAGTCCTCTTACGCTCGATCAATCGAAGTCCTGTCTGAAATAGGATTTGAAATATTGGGGGAAATGGCTTGATTTGTCCAAATTAGGGTTTATATTCGGGCAAACATGTAAACGACGTCGTTTGAGACTATTAGTGCCAATTGGACAAGCTGGAGAGCCATGTGAGACGAAAATTGAAAAAAAAAAAATCAAACGTAGGATTTTTGACATCCCAAATTGAAATTGGCACTTACGTGATTGTTTTTTTTTCAAAAGTGGCACCGAAGTGATCCGGTAAAAAGTTTTGGCACTAAAGTGTGCGTCGTACGAAAGTTATGGTGCTTCTAGTGACATTTTCCTTATTTAATGTGATTTCATACGACTAGTGAAGAGTTCAAAATCTTCTCACTATCAATTATTTTTATTCAGCTTATTTTCATGTCATCACACTCCCATATATAATTATCTATTTCATGTGGTTATTGCATTCACATCTTATGTTCTACATAAGTAGGTCGACTTACATATATGAGAGTAATGATGAGATAATTGCTACACATTGTACTAGTCACCGACGGCTTAA